CAGGGCTCACCCACTCACTAACTGCCACGGCATAGATAATCCCCTCTTGTAGCAATTTAAGAATCTCCCCTTTTACCACCTCCATCAACGTAGGATTCAATCGCCTTTGACCCTTCCGGATGGGTTTGACTCGTCCTCAAGAATAATTCAGTGCATATAAGTGGCCGGGCTTATTCCCTTGATATCACTCAAACTCCACCCGAGAGCATCCTTGTTCGCCACGAGGACATCCACAAGTAATTTCTCCTCCTCAATCGAGAGTCCCGAGTATATGATGGCGGGCTTCTTCTCATTTTCTTCGAGAAAGACATACTTGAGATGTGGTGGTAACGGTTTGATCTCGGTCGAAATTTTCCCAGGTTCGGGTTCTTTGGATATCTTAATAAGATCCACCACACCTTCTTCTTTGGGATCAAGCTTCTCCGGCTCCTCTTCCTCGGGAACTCCACACTCACAAGAGACATTGGCATGAAAAAAGTGGTGGACCTCCGCCTCGATCACATCAACATATGAGCAACTCTCGGTGAACGACGGTGTTGTCTTTGCCTCGCTCATTGTAAAAGTGACCGTTTCACCGAGAGCCGATAATATGACTCGCCCGTCTTTGACGTTGATGAGAGTGTTCGTAGTGGCCATAAACGGGCGGCCAAGTAAGATGGTGTGCTCATTCCCGGTATTTGGGACCTCTCCCACATCAAGCACCACAAAATCCGCCGGGACAATCAAATTTCCAACTCGGATTAAAATATCCTCAATAACACCCTTCGGATAACGTAGTGTACGATCCGCCAATTGCAAACACATCCTCGTATGCTTGAGATCTCCCAACTCCAATTGCTTGAAAATCGAATATGGCATAAGGTTGATCCCGTGTAACACCCCGCCTTACCGTGAAATCAGAGTGCGAAAATTTCGCAAAGTTATTTAAAAATAAAATCTTTTGCTTTGGGAAAACTGATTCGGGGTGCTACCGTAAAACGTGACTTATTTTGGAAAAACCGTTATCTTAATTTTTAATAAAATCATACGCTTACTGAAAGCATAATTTTTCCAAAAGTCCGGTCAAAACATAAGTTCATCAAAACC